ATCAAACGCTGGTACTGTCGTATGAAGAGGATCTCTGCATTTGTTCTTTCGCTCTCTTTCTCATGTTCAATACATCTCATGAATATGAATTTTACGCATACACATGAAGAGAAAGTGTTCCAATGCCTGCAGTGTGAATTTGCACCACAATGGGAAGCGTCATACGAGTGTTGGGGATTGAAATACCTCCCGGATGATGACTTTGAATGTGCCATCTAAACACAGAGGTTTAGAACTCAACTTCGCCGACCAAGTCCAACAGAGGTCCTTATTCAGATTATTCAGAAGGTAACATTCGTGCCTGTCGTTCGACTTGCCTTTCGACAGGGGACAACATCGGGAACCGCTCTATGTCGACACTCGCCTATGTCATGAGCTCAAAGCCTTAAAGTACTGTAGGCGAGTCTCACAAGACGCGAAATTATGTCGCTAAAGTCAATTATGATACAACAATAGACAAGGTACTTGGTACAATAAGGGAACAGATACAGAGGATTGAATTATATATGAGGTATGAACGATGTCCATTGTACATCGACATATGCACCAGGCTGAAGGGCACGCAAGGAAATGCAGGCTTCCGTAAGCAGGTACAGCCGTGCAGGAAAGTAAATCAGTGTACCAGCGAAACATAACCCTATCAGCGTCCGCACAAAGTTCCGTAATACTTTAGGAATACGTTCATCGATAAGGACCTTGGATTCAACCTCAGCCAACATCGGGAAAAGAGTGAACGCATTTGGAACGACTATAACGAGGATGGCAGCGATGCGCCATAACAGCTGCTCGGTGTGGGTTGGGAATCTGAATCCCCACGCAATGCAGTGGATGCCGCCAAATAGGACGGCAATGATGCCACCGCCGACTGCAAGTTTTTGGCTGGTAAGCATGCCACGAAGAGGACTAGCATAGTAAGAATGCACGCGCGGGGATCTGTCGGCCAGAGAAGTGGAACCTGACATAGAGATGCCCGCCATTCCAGCCACGGGTGTGAGGTGCAAAGCTTTGACGGTTCTCCACAACCACTCTTGCTCCTGTCCAGTGTTGGCGTCGTTGATGAGGTTTTCGTTTTCTGTTGCTTGTCGGTCGTCTTTTCTCCAACGAAAATCCATTGAAGGCTCGGAATCAAGCTGCATTAAAGGCGGTTGCTCAAACGGAGGCCGCTTTATCGAAGATCGATCTGATAATTCGATCATTGGGGCCATAGTGCTTTCCTGCGACGAGCTTGCGTGTTAGACGTTGTTTCACACTGCAAAAGGTGACTGAGAACTCCTACCCCAGGGTACCGATCCTTTTGTTGGATGTAAATATGGGAATCCTCAGATTGGATATCCATCTTTGTCTCTTCCGATGATAATTGCTTGAGATACACCGGGATGGAGCATCTGACATCAAGTGGCTTATTCCACCAGAAAAAATACATGATCCCATTCAGAACAGCAAACGCCATTGTCACCAGCTCGAGTTCAGTGAGAACAAGACGTTGAGCAAGGCGTCCGATGCACTGTGCAAGGAACCATGATGTTTGGAGGAAGACGAGGCCTTTAGCAAGGAAGTCTCCCTTACTCCGATCTTCAATTTCAGCTTCTGTGGTTTGGGGGAAATCGATTCTCTGATCCTCGAGAAGGCTCTCTAGACGTTCAACTGAGAGTGTTCCAAGTGACTTATCTCCGTCATAGAGTGTGTAGCCACCCATTTGAATGAAGAAGCCATGCGTCTTTGTCCATCCACGGGCTATGGTCGGAGTCATCAGCTTCGCAGCATACTGACCATGGCAAGAGGCAGGCTTACACCTGTATTTGTCTGCTATGGCGCGCGCCCCAATCCATTGTCTTATTGCCCAGCATATCACCATTTCCGGGGCAAAGATCGTCCAGACCATTGTCCTCAATCTCCGTGCAATAACCGTCCATTCTTTGTCGGACGTAGCTGGGATGTTCGGATGGACGGCAACCCAAGTGCACGCGAATACGGTGACCAAGCAGCTCCAGACGATGTCCAGAGTCTGTCTCTGATTGCAAACGTCGGGACAATTGCATGTGTCGATCACTCCAGGTGATGTATTTTGGCGGAGCAGGATAGTGGGCACCGGATTAGCTCTGATTCCTTCTTGGACAAGGGAGAGAGCAAGGATTGCCAAAGCCAACATCTGGGGCGTTATGAGTGGCGCCAGAAAGGTTGGAGGAGATAGTTAATCCGTTGTTATGATACATGTCGATTCTAGTTAGTACTGTAAAGTACCACGCCTCTGCAGAACGGTCGTAAGTGGGTCTGATGAATGGTGACCATCATCACATTGTCCTAATTTCGCACACCCTTTATAACTATAAATAGTTGATAAACAGAAAGCCAGCATGAAAAGTAAATGTCATTAGTTGTTCATGAGTTCACCGTAGCTTCATTTACAGCTGCAATGCCGTTACTGTAGGTCTGCACGAGAGACCGCAACATATATTTTCGACTATGTATCCCAATATCAAATGGAACGATCATCACTTTGCTCAAAGTGCAGCTGACTGCAATAACCATTGCATTTAGTTCCGTAGCCTTAATGTCTTTTCACTATTCTATGTGACATGACTCGATTTGCCGACATAGGAGCTTACCTTCGAAGCCAATGTTCAATTCCAAGCCACGCACAAGTTTCAGGAGAAGTTTGTCCATATTCTGGCAAGCACTTGAGTTGAGCGTATTGAATCGCAAAAATGGTGCAGGGAATGAGCCATGGATGAAGTGTGGTTTGTCTGAAATGTCACCACTGGCGGGAGCGCTCGGTTGCGTTGATAGGTGTCCTTGAAGTAAGAGTTTCGCTTCTCGTTGAAGTGTTCCCTAGTGACGACGATGGTTCTTCTACTGTGCCCGCAAAGGCAAGGAATATTTCTAACGTGGAAAGGAAAGTAATATGTGCGAGCGAATTAACCCACCTCACAAGAGCGAGAGCATCGCAGTGGTGGGGGGCAGACCCATGAAATGATTGCAAGACGGCAGCAAGGTCGACATCATCCAAGAAAAACTCTCCCGCAAGAATGTGAGGTATTTGGTCTCTGGATTGCCCTCCAGAAGATGAGCCCAAAACCCATAACGAGAGAAGAAATTCCGGAAAAGTAAGTTGGAGGTCGAGTTAACCATGACCTAACCCCAGGCCTCTGAGAAGCTTGGACATGTAATCAAAATCTCCATCCTGGGTGCTTCCCCATGTCGAAAGAAGATAGGGTGAATCAAGCGGAAGCGAGAGCGATGACAGAAAGATCGACCCGAGGACGCATGAGAGCAATGTTTGTCGACGATAAGGCTGCCTGTCAGATTGATCAATGAAGACACGACTTCTTGCGGGACGTCTTCATCATCGTTGGGATGTTGAAGAGGATTTAAAACAGCTGACAAGATCAAGCACGTCGAGTTGGAAAGCTACACAAGTCGACCGAACGACTACGACAATTCGTAGTCGAGTGATTGATTTTGAACCCGCGATGCCAAATCTCCACACGATGTAGAGAGCCGCGTTCAGTGTATGGTTTGAAGTGTAAGGCTAAATGGTGGATACATTGGGATATAGTCGTTAATTCCCCGCGGCCTTCTCCTTAGGCTTCATCTTCACCCCAATAAATTTGGAAGACTTTCCGCTGCGTTGCTGGGAGCTGGATCCCACCATAGGGTTGGGACTTGAAGAGTTTCTCGACGTGAAATCCAAAAGATGAGTTTGATTCTGCGTAGGCGGTAAGAAAGGTAATTCCGGAAGAGTGGTTATCGCCCTGATTGGTGGTCGCGGTTGAGGAGCTGCAATATTATACATCGGAGTCTGTCTTGGAACGGTAGGGGGCGGTTTCGCTGGCAAAGATGGATGATGGAGTGCGGTGGAGGCAGTTGGCGGTGTGGGTGTTGAAGATCGGTTGCTTGGATCCGGATCATTTTTTGACGAGGCATCGTTGGGTTTAGCTGGGCGAGGATTGGTGCTTTCCATCTGACGCAATTTGGCCTCCATCATGGCAATCTTATCCCCCGTTTTCCTACCAGTCGATTATGAATGAAAGACGTGGATGAACGTGACAGTCGACCTACCCTTCATGCCGCCTAGTAGGTCCCGTCTTGAGCATACTCAACGTGGTAGGCCGACCAGTTTCCATCAGGGTCTTTCGTGTCTTCGAAGAAGACATCCCTGATCCTCCGTACTGATCCAAGGGGGCCTGGTGCGCAAATGTGACAACGAGCGTGCGGCCTCGCAATGGTTTCTCATGCGCCTTGGTCAAGGCCTTGAGGGCGTCCTAAACGTGTTGAACAGTATCAGCGACGAGTTCAATTCCGAATACGTTTCACAGTGGTCCAAGCCACCCAATCTGTACACGAGAGATAATTGAGTCGACTGAATCTCTCATAGCGGTGATGATCAGGCGACTGTCTAGCGTCATGCACAGATGATGGTAGCCGGGACGAGGCAAGCATGAAATAAAACAGATGCAGGGTAAGCAATGGAGTCGTGATTGCGCAGAACCAAGAGCTGGACAAGGATGGATGTCGCAAACTCACTTCTTTATTCCCGTATTCGACAAATGCATACCCGCGAGGCTTTCCTTTCAACAGCCCAGTTTTATGAAAGAGGAAGTCAAGCTTGGTTACTTTCCCGAATCTTGAGAAGACTTGAAGAAGGGTATATCTGAGGCAACCAGGATTAAACTATCGGTATTTTTGGCGTGCAGGGAAGGCACGCACTCGTCAACAGTTGGGTGAAGGTTGCCAACATAAAGCCTGTCTTTGAGGATGTGCCGAGTTGGTTCGGGTGCGATCACGATTTCTGATATGCCATTCTCGAGCACTGCTGGGTAGTGTAAATGGTCATCTTGAATTGGCGTCGTTGTCCTTGTTGGCAATTGCAAATCTTCGAGAGTGACCGTGCTGCTACTCGCCATTATCATGGAATGGAGCCAAGATGCAGCAAAAGGGTTTTGGTGTCTGGAAAGTATATCCCATGGCTAAATATGTATACATACACCAATTGATATCAAGCATTAATGGGGTAGTGGTAACCTGGGTCGTTGCCATTCGAGTTTCAAGCTCGACCCGCCGGGGGTTCGATTCCCTCTTAATGCATAAAAAGTGTGGTCCACTATTTTTGTCAATGGAAACTTAACAGGATGATAGTATGCGAGCGGCTTTACGCCTAATCTGTTAGTTCTTTGCACTCACTTACCTCCACGCATTACGCAATATCTTGTCATCAGATCATGGTGGATACGCAACTGTAAAGAATCGTGGTTAAATATTATGGAACGCCAATAACGTCTCGGGGAACAAAGTCGTGATACAGTAATAAGGAAGCGTCCTTCCAATGGTAGCGAATATATCGTTTATGCAGCAAACATCCGCGATGCAACATCTTTTCCATGCGAGGCCTGGTATCAGTGAAGGAGGATGTGTGCTGAACTTGCCCAGTCGGCCAGTAATTCAAACAAGGGCTCATGTGAAGAATTTGCGGTTCTCGTTGTTTCCGAATAGCACCTTTCTGATCTCGGGAAGCATCTTGCGGATGGGTGCGGTCAGTTTGCAATTTGCGGTGGTAACAAGGTGACACATGAACTCACCTTATCTTCAAGAAGTCTGAGTCTCTCCTCCATTGTATTGTCGAGAGTGATCCGACCCGTACCGCTCACCAACTTCACACCACCTTGACTCCTAGATAAGGGCGCAGTGCGGGGAACAAGCTGAACGTTTGCATCATGCCACAGAATCAGGCGATAGACTTACGAGTCATCCGGAATTGATCCTTCGACCTCGAACTCAATGTTTCGACCGCTGATATCCTTGTATGCTTTTGCCGCGTTGGCGGCGGCTCGGTTCACAATATCGACATCCGATTCTCGTGAATAGATGCCAACGCTCGGTTCGAGAATGTACAGGAATGATTCAGTGAGTGTACCCTCCAGGAACTGTTCGTAACGATCGACCATCTTGTATAGCGGGGTGGACGGTTCCCGAACGGAAGAGAATATGTGCTGTAGGATTTCTTCACGTTTGTGGAGGAGCTTTAGTCGAGACTTGTTCGTAATTGTCGACTGAGCACTAGGCGACGGAAGGTAGGTCAGAAAGTGAAACGGTACGTATGGCCGGCGGCTCAGCGTACATTTTTTGGGCAACCTCAGCACCTTTACGCTTCTTTTCGAATTGAGCGTCAATTGCTTGTTGTTCCTGTTTGACGAGTTTGGCCTATCCAACGGAGGATGATGTCAGAAGGCGGTAGTTCTATCGGATCTGTCATAGATAGCACGACTTCGCACCTTTTCAATGGCGAACTCCTCGTCAGCCTTCACTCTAATCTCGCGGGCTTTCTCCAGCGCCTCCTGCTTGATGAACGCAACCTATGTGAGGGAAGATCGCGGTACGATGAATATCGAAAGCAGGACATTGAGGCGCATCAACTAGGTGCAACACACCATCTTGTTCATCTCACTAAGGACTTCATCATCATTTAGTGCGCGGGATGACATAGCTTAGGCAAGGGTAATGTTGGAGAAGAACGAAGCTTTCTAAAGGTCGATGGCTGTATACAGAATTGCTGGAACTGGGGCGGAGGAGAGAGGATCTGGGTAGCGATGATTGGATCTAACGAGATAGACAAACAAGAAACGCGCAGCCACTGTGGTCACAGGCTGCGGCGGGCATACCTGAACATGACATATCCTGCCATTCAAGCCGCCATCCATCTGCGCGGAAACTAGTCTGACCTCCTGAGCATGCTCGCAACATTTCTGCTGGGATCTGACTTAGGCTCTGCCACCTTGCAGCCACCAACTACCAGCTTGCTTTTCTGACGTCACATTTTCGTATTCGTCAGACCAGAAACCTCTTCATCCAGATACGCAGTAAACATTGGATCACGAAAAAACCTACCTGCGGTCAACCCTGAGCCTAGCTCACCCAATACCGGATGCCGCTGCTGCGATGACATCGGGCGTCTATTGCTAGTTACCTGATGAGCTACACACAAGCGTCTACTAATCATGCTTCTCAGACACGTACCAATCACCATTCCTGCTTTTCTGGTGAAAAGTGTACACGGACGCTGTTACTAGGATGCTTGGGATGGAAGTGACGGGATGAAGTTGAGCTTCATACATGCGCAGTAAGCGCTGGCGTCTAAAATCCTGGAGCTCTGAGCCAGGCTTTCAGCCTTCCTTCCCGTCTGTGCACCGCTGTTCTTGGTGAGGAGCCTAGCGCTTACTTTGAGGGAGTATGCTTACTGGCGATAGAAAAACTTGAACCAGGAGCTCGGAAATACATGCCAAGTTTCTGACATAACCGGCTATGAATCTCGTATATGCGGAGAACTAGAATGCAATCCCTTAACCCAGCTTTCGGGTGCTTGTCGACGCTGCTTCTGACGACCACATATCATCAGTCAACATAGCTTCGTCTGCTCTCAATATGAAATACCGAAGTTCTTCATTTTTTTGGCATATTCGGACAGACTGGTTGTGATTTTAATGACGTAAAGGTTGACTCGAAAGACACAAATTTAAATAACGTAATGATAGTGCGCTTATTGTGATTCTTCCTATGGACTTGATCCGGCTTTGAACTCGGATTCAGTGCTAAATTTATAGAAAGACGAAGAAACATCAACTTCACTGCATAGCGGCTGGGGGCGTTGGCGGTAGAATGACGGCAATACGCTACTGATAGCCCACACGCATTGAATGCTTGCATTAAGCTATAGGAAAGCCTGTACGAATCAATGGGAGGCTTCAAGGCTAAGACCCAGACCAGAGAGACTCAATATTGAATCAATGCGTTGGAAGTCTCATTTCAGATGGTCGAAGTTTGTCCAGCAGAGACTTCATATAATCGCCGATATCTGTCGGCTGCAGAGGCGTTTCGACTCATGTCATACTTTATGTGATGCACTGACAGATCTATAGTATTTCAGCACCTGGTCTCCCATACTATACTCTCAATGTTTGGCCTGCATTCCATTTTACGACTTGCCCGTTGTTAACTACCGTATGTGAGAGGACGATGATACGTATACTGATATGTATACTTGCCTGTATAGACTCTTAGGAACAGGGTGTTCAGGGATTGGACAGTAGTGATATCCAATGCTGATTCTATCTCCCTACACGTCTCCCAACTGATTTGAACCTCGTGTATGAAATCACACAATAATTGTACAATGGTTCAGATATATATCATACATATCACGAAATGGAAGGGATAATTGTCAGGTTCCTATGTGTGCGCAAACATGGCCATGGCTCTACATATTGACGGTTGCACCACTCCTTGTCGGGCAAGAAATTGTGTCGGTTTGCCCGTTCATCCTGCTTCTCTGGAGGAAAAGCGAAGGCGAGAACTGTTAGGCGCACACGTTTCCCAGAATGAGGGTCGGCAGTGTTCATTAGAGGCGGCGCTTCACCCATGTCCCCGAGCGTCAGAGGTGGCCATGGTTGTTTCGGTGCTTTCGGTTTCTCCTCGAGAGCGTTGGTGTTCTTTGTGTCGTCCATCGCGTTATCACTTAAAACGTTCAGTAACGAAACCAAAAATTCGAGTATTAAAAGACTTACATCGTATAGCTCAGGGTCCGGGTTCATATCAAGCAATGCTCGGCCTCAGTTATCCATTCCTGATTCTTTACCGTCTATCGGTGCTGTTGCTCGTTAGAAATGCTTTGTTCGCCGCTGTAGCCAAAGACGTGGAAGCTATTCATGACTCTCCGGTTGAGCGCATTTCGTTCGTGGACTTCCATGGAATTACTTGGCTCGTGTCTCCCTTCACAGTCAGTTTTCTTGGAATACTCTAATTGCCATACACTGCGTCGCCCGAGGGCGTTCATACTGCGCAATCCGTGTTATCAAATTGATTGAACCACACCTGAGTTCCCTAGGAGTAGTGGAAGTGGTCAACCGAGGGCAGGTAGTTCGACATAAGTAGTTTCTCAAACAAGGTGGTTTACTATACTGTGGCTAGTCGTCATGTCCGCTGACCTGGGTTCATGCTGCTCATCCTCTGCAGTCGAATATCTGGTTGTTGTGACTCTCGTCCATGAACTCTAGGCTTTAGAGCTGCTCATCAGCCTTGGTCAGTAGGCTGGGTGCCAATGTGTCACTAGCTACAACTTGGCATGAACCAACTTTTCGAATCCAGGTTGATTGCTTCTTTTACTCCCGAGGAAATTGCCCTCGACTGTTACCTATGTGTTAGGGTCGTCGTGAAAAGGAGACAAAGACCAGCCCCATAACACCACTTTCATCGCTTTTGTCAAAGATCACGAAATTATCTCGAATAGTGTCATTTATTCCGGCTCAGTCAAGCTACAATCTCACTGGCCAGACAGAATTTCATGGATGAGTTCAAGCCGTACAGATAGCTGCGTCTTGGAGTCGTAGATGCCACAGAATATTCTGATTTAGTGTAGAGCGTATGCTCTCCATGATGCCAGCGAATTCTATCAAATTCCGGTCCATCGCCGAGCACTACGGCTCTATCCTCCCTGACTTCTTCAGAAACCTCATCGAGACCCAACCGTGATCTTCGAGACGATGACCTTTCAGCGTACATCTTCAATTCGCATTGACACAACAGTAAGGCCTGGCATGTTCCACGAACGTTTACCAGTAGCCAGACAACAAGAGAAGCCGAAAAATAGACCACTACCATTCCATCACCATCCGGAACTCAACGCATCGCATTGCATTACTCCGATACGGCCGTCCCAACGCGCCCACAACCATATATATCCATGTCAAAAATTTGCTTCCGCCGCGGTCGGGGTCCTCGTCTCAATATCCAATTTTGGACGACCGCATGGGTACTGATCAGTGCGATCGTTCGGAATGGGATTATCATGTTCGGGATGAAGTGTCCGGAGCGGAGGGGGGTAAAAAGTATAAAAAAACGGTCGTAAACCTTCTGGCTGTTGCAGGCTGTTGGAGGCTGTTGCATAGTTCATACGATGGCGATCGATGCCCTTCCAGGAGGTAAGGTAAAAAGGTGGATGTTGGACGCGGCGTCGGATTTCAATGTAATGGGCGCGTCCGAATCCCATTCCACGTGACATATATCTTTACATTCATCTCTTCGTTTATTACATTAAA